GTCTTAACCTTAACAAACAAAACAAAACCAAAACAAGACCAGCCCAGGATAACTCCTCTTACTACCAGCATTTACCACTAATTCTGATAGTGTTCTAGGAGGATAGTTGTCCTTTCTTCAGCTCCGCTGTAAAAAAAAAAATCATCTAGTTTTTGCTAGCATTTTTTGATCAAGACTTTGCTCAGTGTCATTGATAGCTGCAATTGTAGAGGTCAGCTCTATCTGACGCAGCCTATCCTCAGCTTGGCCTTTGGAGCCGTGGAGTGCTTTCCAGTTCCAGAGTTGCTGGCAGTGTCTCAGTGCTTGCCTTGTGTGATGACTCACTCTTTGAGTAGGCTGATCAGGCTGTGCACAGGGAGCTACTTTATTTGTTTGGATCACTTGGCTTTTTAAAAGCCCCACTTTTCACATGTTTCTTCTGCAGAATGGGTGAACTCTGAGGGACTGAACACTGTTGTCATCTGTTGGATGGAGTGTTGAGCATGCGCACGCTGTGCTCTTTCTGCCATTCAGGGTAGAGAAAGCCTCTTGCCCTTTGCAGCTTGGAATCCCACTGTTTACATTGCGGCACTAGTCAGAATACCCATTCAGAGCGGGCAGTTTATTGGCTGCCGGCTGTGATCGATCGAAAATTTTCAAGCTGGCTCCTTCGATCAGCTGATCGAGAAATGACTAGATGAAAGGGAACAGACAGCCCCGCAAATTGTGTGAATTTCGGCCGGTACATTAACAACCGGCCAAAATTCGACCGGTGTATGGGCACCTTTTTAGGCTCAGTCTGGAAAGGCTCATCCTTTGTTGGAGGTCAACGGCGTTTCTACATTTTGACGTGGGATGGAAATATATAATTATGTATATCTAATTTTTTTATTTTTTTTAAATCCTTTTCGCTATCCTCCTCTCCTACAAATCTGATCTCCAGCCTGTTTGTGTATTGTGATCTGCATAATAACCCCCTCGTGTCCTTTATCCTGCAAATCTGCACATTAACCCCTTCATCTCCATAAAGTAAG